GCAAGAGTCTACACGCAGCAAGCAACGAAATGCGCTTTGATGAGTTGAGTTGAAAGTTACGAGTCAGACAGTCTCGTCAGAATTTGCGAGTTTGAAGTGAGCAAAAGCGAAGTGGCGGGATACTTCCACGCTGCGATTTCTGTAGTGTACACGCAGAACACAGTGTATACTTCAATAGGCAGTATGAAGGCCACTTCAATGAATACAAATATGTATCTGTATGTACCTACCCTTATAGAAAATCAAACATCACGCTTGTCCCGTACTCTTTGAGAGGGTCAGTGTAAATAGAAGTTGCCTAGCATTCAAAATGTAACATCGGGGTTTTCGTACCTATTTGAGGGGTCCGGTATGGATCTGGTTGTGGAACATATGCCGCTTCATCAGCCTACTCCTAGCATTTTAGCATACTATAGTGGGGTTCTAGAATCATGCACACATCTGCAGCTATACTGTATGTGTCGACGACGGATCTCATCTATGTGGACTCCTTGCTCTATAGCGTACTGTAATAGAGGGCGGAACTCCCTTACTTCGCACATTCGTCATTTGGAATGATTGACTGAACTGGTTGTGCCCGGACCGACAACAAGTGCGGGCAAGTTGAAACGCTCGTTTTAAACGAGAAGCTTGTCAAGCTGGACGTCAGATATATGAAGTTAGAAGTGACAGTGCAATTCTATAACGTCTTCAGGCGTGCCTGAGAATTTGAAGAATAATGACGATAATTTGATGTCGACTCAGATAGAAGAAAGAAGATAAAATAGCGGAGATCATTTGTGCACATGTCTCATTATAACAGGGGTTGATACATGTTAAGTAGCGCCATCCACGCAGTAGTTCAGAGTTGAACCCATTTGGACGGACAAGCAGAAGCCTCCATTTTGCGTAACCGACATTGATAATATCTCTTGACCAGTACCAATGTTATTAAACCTCGTTCAACATAAAATCGACTCGGAGCCGCGGAGATGCTGGTCTTCTGGGTAGTTGGGCGGATGGGAAAGCCTGAGTGATCCATTCTTGAAGAAAGTTTCTCTCAGAACGGTAAAAATCTCGCTCACGTCTCAGGGTCTGGATTTCGCGTTCTTTGCGCTCCAGTGTCTCCATTGCCTCCTGAAGCTGCTTTTGCCTTCTACGGAATCTTGCTGATGCCTCGCGATCTTTTACCCGCTTCTGAGCTCGTCTCGACGAACCTGAGTCGTCTATCTCAAAACGTATCAAGGGTGCATTAGATTCCCCGTGTGTCTGGTAATCTGTTGCACCCAATGCAGATTCAGGCTGGGCCATTGAGTTTGTCACGTTGGCTGAAAGAGTAGAAAGAGGACCTACACTGATGTTAGCTTGAATTTCTTCATGTGAAAGCTCCAGGAATTGCTAACTTTACTCAAAATGATTGGGCGTCGAGGTTCGAGAGTATATTGATTTGCCACGACGCTGTTATATTGGTTTACTTCCCAAAAGCTGTGTGGGCGGTACATGGGGTGCGTTCGAGACAGAGATATGAACTTTGCGACTATTTATAATTATTGCCTGTCGATCTGTGGTTGGTAATTTCGTCATAAGCGGTATCTTCACTAGTCAGGATTGTCGCATGTCCAAACTTCCTGTGAACGGGCTTTGATATGACAGGAGCAGTCGTACGGTCAGAAGAGTTCGGCAATTCCCAGGAGCGCACGGAGGGCTCCTAGAAGCTACGTCCGTCCTCTTGGGAATAACGGCTATCTCGAGAATAGCTAATGCCTGTCCTCATGGCCACGTTTTGCGTAAAGCCATTCGGCCTGCCTCTGCCATTGCGTGTAGGGAAGGGAATCAGCATACAGGATGCACATGCACGGTGTGTACTTCTATTCGCAGGGGTTCTACCCCAATTGCCTGTTGCTTATCCCTTCCGTTCTGTTCTTCGTTACTCATACAGGAGTGAGGACACAACGCCTCACGTCGCTCAACTTCCCGATATCAGCCCGTTGTTACCAGCCTGGTGAGTGTGCTTGGAATATCGGGTCAAGACGCAGGTGCTCTACGCTTCGCGTGGATACAGTGGCAAATCAGCCAAAGCATGGGAAGCGTCGGCTAGAAGCAAACAAGATCTAAACCACTCCCGGTTAAAACGATGAGATACAGTCGGGTAAGGTCAGGGTCTTGACTGGTCATGTACATTCTCCTGGTTCCTTCTCTGGCGCTACTTGGAGCAGGTCAATTCACCAGCGTTAGCACCAAAGCCCAAAAGTTTCTCCATGTTATCCAGCAGTGGTGATTTCCTGGTCATTCCTGAGTTGGATTCGTTTGGCCCGTCGGGTACCAGCTCAATATGAGCGGTCTTTCAGGATCTGGAATATCCATTTCGCGGGGAGCATTCTGCCGTTGATTTCATATGGAAGAAACGATTCAAACCACAATATCGTTTGGCTGAAAAGTGGCCTAGCGACATAGTTCCTCAAATCAGTTAAGACATTGTAGAGCATCCACATGTCCGCCTTTGGGAGCTTCAACATATCAGTTTAGTCAATAATCATGGATAATTTTCATACCTGCTCGAGGACCAGTTGTAACAATTCCTGGGGCAGTTTCATCAGCATCCTCACTTCGTTAAGCAGGATTCRTCCTGGGATAATTATTGAGAGGTTAGTCACAAATGCCAGCGGAGGCCTGGAGTATATCCATACTATAAGTAATTGACTCAATTTCCAGTGGTATGGGGCCTATCGTAACAAACAGAGTATGTGTTCCGCAGGCTTGGCATTGTCATTTGTAAAGACTAGCTGACCTTGTCACGTTTGGCAAGGTCTTGTTATTTCGGTTCAATGATATGTTAGGTTGACTTCAATAGCAGATGAAATGAGAGTATTGACTGAACTACGAGTATCATACACAGAACCAGACATCCACGTACGGCCTCCTCTAAAGAGATTTTCTCCTAGGAAGTGTATGGCTAGGTTGATTGTCCTCGCGATCGGCATCTTGGTCGAACGGTGAACATCTGAGTTCAGTCTTGCCCGGGGCAACTGGTTCATACAGTGAAGGCCGAGAAAAGGAGTTTGTGGACTGGGCATCTAACGTGGAGGGCGAGACAAGCCCAGGAAGTTCTAGACCAGAAAGAACCACAATAAACCTAATCTGAGCCTCTCAGTGGCCGATTATCTTCACCTGGAAAGGAAAAAGAAGAATGGGGTTGAAAGACAAAGAAAACGGGGCTTGTCAAGTGCAACGCCATCTCATCCGCCCATGCAACCTAGTCAGGGCTTCTTTGTTGCAATCCTAAACGCTATTATTACCTGCAACGGGAAAAAGGGGAATACAGAGACAAAGAAACCCAGCCCATCTGCCGCAATGCCATCTCATGTCCCTGTTACGACCTAGATAGCTCTTCTTTGTGCAGCAGTGCAAGGTGCCATTATCACCCTAGAACTGCGTCTTTAGCGGACCGCATTATGGATTGAACCTGGTTAAGCCGTGGTCGGTTTCGGGCTCTGCAACATACGCGTTTAGTACATAGTGACGATATTTTTTGCGACTTTAGAGTCAATCTTTCGACGTATGCTATTAGCTGACAAGGCTGCTATTGGGAAGTCATGCATGGTCAATTACAACGGAAATTGTCGCACCACTTGCACCACTCATTACTTGCGGTTGAAATCCGACTGAGGCTCAGGTCTAATGCCACCTCGGAGACCGCCAACAACAACGTCCGATGTGGAAAGGAGTGTGCGGCTGTGCATTGTAAACGTTGATCACTACCTGGGAAGGACAAAGAATTGAAAGATAAAGAAACTAGGCTCCGGTCGCAACACCATCTGCGGCGCTGCAACATACCCGTTTAGTGCGTTGTAACGGTATTCTTTGACCTTTGAATCCACTTTACAGCGCATGTTTGCAGTCCGCCTAGTGCGCGACTGTGAACTTACTGAACATGCTCGGCCAAGTTGCGCTGAATCAGAGGGACCGCCCGCAGTAGAAACCTGGCGTAGGTGTTCAATGTAAATACGAGAGGACAAGACCCTGTTACCAGGGCAATATCAAAGCAACCAATGGAGATCCGGTTATCCTCGAGTGTTCGTGGAGTGCAAAGCCCGTCAATGCGGGAAATCCGTCAACCCGGCTGATCACGGCCTAATTTTGTCTCGGTAGGGTGGCTGAAAGGCGGAGTGACCAGAATGGCCGACCTGGGTTTCCTTGTTTCAAACCCCTGCTCAGTTAACCCGGTCAAGGTTAGTGAGTTCGGCCTGGTGGATCGGGTATCTGGCCGCAAATCCTCGTGCCAGGTCCTATTTCCACCGCATTAGGAACATCATACAGAATWTGTGGCGRGTACTGCCTAGTCATACTCGTCCCNTAAGTYTTTCCAATTGGCAACAGATTTAACCAGTTCCGACCTTTCCAGGTTTCGCCCGCCTTTTGGCGGCCCTAGCCACCCAGCATTCAACACCTCAGACTGATCGAACATAGCAATSCCCTGGTCTTGCTTCACAGCTGGTTAACCAGCCACAAACTATCTAGTAAGACAGGTGACTTTGGACGGTTGATACTGGCATCGAACCGCGGGGAAGTGGAGCGTCCGGAAGGTTATTAGGTATCCCCAGGTGTATACCTGCGACCTTGTTTCACATGTAGAACTGGCTCTTCGAAACAAAATTTCCATGTCGCTTTTATTCTTGCCCAGAGAGATACTATATGAGGTTTTCAAACAGGTATTCAAATACACCAGCTCTGTGCCCTCGACTCCAGCTAACATAACAAAATCTCAGTTAGGGCCCGAAGACCTATGGTGTCTTTTCGGAACATCCAAGGCATTTCGTTATTGCGTTGCCCCAATGCTTCTCCGGAATGCAAGAATCGGATTTACTGAACTCGGTTCTGCCAGGGTGGCTCTGAACGGAAGGGCGTTGCATCCGCGTGTCGCACGCGATATCTTAACGACGTGGGCCTCAAGTGTACAAATTTTAAAGTATAAAGTTGGCGACGCATATCAAATGATAGAACTACTACCCCGATTGGTGAACATGAAGCACTTCAGGTACGCTAAGGGCTTCAATGCCATTCTTTCCCGCCGGATGGAGGCAATCGACCGTCTAACAGTGAGCAGTATTGGAAACTTTCTCGACAACGAAAGCCTTCATCAAATCCTTCAGAGGGTGGCAGACCTCCCGGCTCTCCAAGAGTTGAAAGTGTGGTGTAGTCAACCGGTTGCCTGGAGACACGATTGGAACTTCCAAAATCTTCGTTATCTGGCGATTAAAGGCTTCGGGTGCGAGCGAGGAACTTTGAATCTTCCAAGCTTTCCTACTCTTCTAGACCTTCGGATCTCCTTTGGCGAAGCAAATGAATTGCCTGATCCGATGGAATTTCGCGCCTTCGTGGATTTGTCTCGTCTGCCCTGTCTCACATCCCTCGAAATTAAAGGGGTTATTGATGCAAAGATTGACGACCGGCTAACTTTTCGTGGTGTTACAAAGTCGTTACGAAGGTTCACCGCCAAATACATGAACGGCTGGACATTCTGGGATGCTTGGAAATGTATGAATGGGAGTCTCGAAGAAATACGACTTCAAACTTCAAGGGAGAGCGGCCGTCCTTCCACAGAGCTGAATTTCCCACGCCTAAAGACGCTCGAACTGGAAAACTCCTTGGACTGTCTTCCTCTTCGTAATATCGGATTGCCGGTCTTGACCCAGATCGACCTCAAATTGGGCCCTGGGGACTTTTACGATCTTCAACACCATCTATCGTCGTCAATTTCAGTGTTACAGAAGCTACCAATCAGCCTTAACCTCATGCATGATGAGATTTGTTTTGATAATTATTGGCCAACATTATTGGATAGCCAAGACCTAGAAACCCTCGCCCAGCTGATATCTCTGTCGAACGTAAGGCTTGGGGAAGACGGAAACACGATTCTGGACATGTTGTCGTCCTGGATCGTAAATTCGGAGCTGCCTGATCTATAAGATATCCACAGGAAACCCTCCATATAACGAGATTGAAGATAATGAAGAAGCCAAAAAGCTTTACAACGAACAAATACTTCCGAAATGCGCCGCGCAAGTCAAAAACCCACGTTGCTATGCCACTTTCTTGAAAAGCAAGGTTGCTCTTTACGTCCAATATCCCTTGTGGATTGGATGACAGAGCACTCGCGACGGAATCACATCCCAGCTCTTAGGAATCTATCCACATCATATTTGGGAGGTGTACATTATCACAGAAGACAAATTGTTACCGCCTAATATATGGGCGCTCCTAGGGAAACCGCGTAACCTGAAACGTTGCAAGTAAAGTAACTACAACTAACCCATTCGAGACAGAGAAAGTTCATTTTAACACCCGGTTGACATTGAAGCGGACAGAGAGAAAGCAAAGGAAAAGTCTTCCGCCAGACAGAAGGCAGCAGGCGTTACAGTGTTATCTGGCGCGTCAGGCCAGCGGAACCACCTGGGAGCTGCAGTGGCAGCCCTCGACGAGGATGGAAACATTATCCAATCCCGGAAGATCTGCATTGGTTCGATGGAATATTGGTCAGTGTACGTTGCAGAGCTCATGGCAATATAATATACCATTAGCGTCTATGAGATTACACGGGAGAAGCAAGAGGCCCCAACCACCAACCATGAGCCTGCAACTATCCTGACCGACAGCATGTCCGCACTACAAGCAATAGCAAATTCATGGAACAAGTCGGGGCAGCGCTTCATCCAGGCCATCCTCCAATCAGCCAAGGAGTTAAACACGCGTGGGATTCCTGTCCGTCTCCAATGGGTCCCCGACACTGCGATGACCCCGGTAGTGACACAGTAGACCGCCTGGCCAAAGAAGCCGTAGGCCCTGACAAGATGCACCCTTTCCACACCTTCTCTCCCGGGAGAAGGGATCCATCCGCCGCAAAATTCAGAATGGGAACAAAGAATGAAAAACCCCCAAAAAGGAGGGCACCTCCGCCGGATTGGTGCGACTCTACGCTCAATCCGCACGCGGCGGATGTATGGTTCGCTATCGCGGAGTCGAGCCTACTTACTCGCACAACTCCGGACCGGCCACTCGTGGCTGGCGGCGCATGGCAAGCGCATGGCCTCTAGGAGAACGACAAGTGCGAGTGTGGAGCTAAAGAAAGAGTAGTCCACGTGCTAGTGGATTGCCCGAGACTGAAAGACCTGCGCAACATACTACGAAGGAAAATCGGAAGTGCATTCCACGACATCTCAGATATGCTGGGAAAGGGAATACAAGGTAAGGAAGGTAGGTTAAATGAGGCCGCACAGGACAGTAGCATCTTAGGTGCTGTATTGGACTTTGCAGAGGCATCTGGAAGATTTCGAAGCCGCGGGCCAGAGAGGCCGCAAACCAGAAGACCAGGCACTTAGGCCACCATAGGCCAAGAAGAGGCTCGAAATTCGTCGGGACGTAATGGTTCACTGTAAATAAACATAGATGGAGATAGCCTTAGTGGATTGTCCTGCATATCGCCTAGGCAGTTGATTATAAACCACAGCCCACTAGACTAGGTACGGATTCGTATTTTGGTCTAGTGGTAAAATCAATTTAGGCGAGGGGTCAGGGTATGAATACCACCACCACCACCACCACCACCACCAGGTGTACCTGTCGACCGTTCAGGCTGACCTCAGCGAAGTGGCGTATCTCGTCTTCCGAGATTTCCGCTCCTGTCTTAGCAGAAAAGTGTCTGAAGATGGCTTGTCGAGCCGATGAGTCCAGATCATGATACTGCAAATTTAACTGGATTCGGTCAAGGATGGCCGCATCGAAGTCCTGGAGCATATTCGTCGTGATAAAAAGCTAGGCCACCCTTTCGGGAGAGGTCATGACCAATGATTCATCCCTGAAAATTTTAGCTGTAAGATCAGAGTTGGCCGGAATAACACAGAACATAAACAGACCACGGTTCGTGCAGGCCATGGCTCTCCTACATGATCCGGTCGCAGTGACTCCCCAGTGTATCTTCCTCACATTTGGTGTACCGGAAGGCCAGCAACCAGTTTTAGGTTACCATCTTAATATGGAGACTAAATGGCTGGGTGCAGGTATCACATCAGTAGAAAAGGCTCTAATGCAGAGACGTGTGCCAATAATTACGTTGCTGCTGAGTTTCGATGCTCGTCCTGCAACAAATAAAAGAAATGACCAATCGCCTGACACACTGGGTTTACTGGCTAGTCATGTCCCACTATGCTCAGGGGTGGTGTCCGAGACTCCTGGTTCAGATTCGTCCACAGGTCCAATAGCTCATCAACCTCGTACGATGCCACATATGTTGCCTCCTCCGGATTTGGCAGCACCCCGATTGGTACTCCTCCCTGAAGTGCAATCTTTTGCTTACCATAGGTGTTTCGCATATTGTTCATCTCCTGGTCAGATCTGCCGTGCGTCGGATCTATGGCACCAGAATGTAGTGGAGGGGGCACGGAGAGAGGCCGAGGCTCATAGAAATAGTCTGGTCTAGAGATGGTTGCGTCGCGTGGCCGATCGTATTGCACTGGGAACCTGAAAGAAGGCGCGCATTGCGTCACAACCGTAGGGGTAGCGTGTTGTGTTGCGCACATGGAAGAGTAAATATTTGGATCCTCGACGCCCAATCCCAGTGAAGCTTCACTCTTTTGTTTCGGGGCGCAGCAGCAACAGGTCACTGCTAAAGTGTGCATTACTTGACCGATTGCATGAACAAGGTCATCCCAGCCTCGAGCGAGTTCATGGAAGTCTCTGTCGAGAGCACCCTTAGTGTGATCTGGGGCTGGGTCCGTTGCTATTTTGGGATCCTCTAGTGAAGTCACAACGGACTTGGGTCTTGCTATCTTTTCCGTCCGAGATCGGGCGCTACTCGTTGAATCTCCTATTTGTTCTGAACAAATGCTGGATTGATATCCCCGAACGATGGCTTTCGATTCAGACGGTTCGAGGAAGTGATTGCCGTTCGCTGCGATTGAAGCAGAAGATCCTCTGTCCGCTTTGTGAGAGAATCCTGTTATTGGTTCCAATGCTGACAAATGTGGCTCAGAAGGAATTGTATTGGGATTCGGCACGGATGGGCTGCTTATTCTCAGCCTTAATAAAGTTGAACCAGACGTCTAATCTTACCCTGAAAGCTCGCGCTCATCTTCTTCACTGGCCTTGATCTTATTCCGCCTCACACCTAACAGTTTTTCCTCGCGAACGGACTCCTCTTCATCCTCGATCTTATGACGCTCGTAGGCCGCAGCTGCTTGCCTTTGCAGGGAAATAAGCTCCTCGATGAGCCTTCGATGGTTCTGATCGTCATCCCTGTAACTCCAATTAGCATGAGTTCACCGGTGCAGGAAGCTATATGTATACTTCTTCTCAGCCTTTAACCGCGCATAGATGATGACCTGCAAGAAGCACTGCAGCGTCATCTTCAAACTCTCGAGATTACTTTGTAACAGAAAAAATTTCGACTCCCGCAGTGGAAACGTCCACTTCTCCAGCCTACCCAAATTCCCCGCTCTGTCCAGCCACTGATTAAGCTGGTCGAACAGGGCTGAACACTGTGTTACCACATCTTCAACGGTCTGAATCGCCTTCTGGGAGATGAGATTCCGCCTAGCAACTCCTTCTTCTTCGAAAATATTCGCTACTTCTTCGACGACCGTTGCCGTAGAGCGAACATAAATGGCTATCTCTTGAGTCCGTTTACCGCTCGACCTAACGCCGTCGCCGTAATCGTGGAGTTTTTGGGCAAGCGTGAGCCCAGCACTGGCTATGGATACTAGGGACGCAATGAGGCCGATTGTTTCTGCCATGGTTTATATGCTTTCTCCAAAAGATGGCTAGAGCTCACCGGGTCGGTGTTCTCGATGATGCTAATGACACATGGTCGCTGGGCCCTTTTTGAAGATAAGACAAGGCTGAGAGGGAGCGGGGGGACAAGGATGGTAATTCTGCCGGGTGGCAATACGTCAACGCTGCGCCTCAATTCAACTTTCCGAAAGTCGTGCTGTTGGCATGAAGATATGCGTCGACATGGTGACAACGAAAGCTGGTATAGGCCATATTTGGCCTATTGACAATGAATGCGTCCTTCAGCGATGCATGCCAACAACTGATATTTATTGAGAATAACGCGCTGTCGATTGTATATCAATCAGAAGTACTTGGTCTATCCCTTTGTAAGGTCCTCCAACCCCAGTATTGCTGATCCCTGCTTCCTCGTACATGCGGAGTGACCAACCTTTTCCCCCCAGGTCCAGAGGGTGCATGAATTTCTGATATTCCGTCAATAGTGCCTTGTCGGAATAGCTCGAGTCTTTTTCATCGGAATAAAGGAGGATTGATAAAAACTAAAAAGGAAAGAAAGAAATAAAAAAAATTCCAGCTCTGCTAGAACAACATCACATCAATCACCCAGCCGCGGGGCTCTCACTGCGAGTGAGATAGTGAAGTCGACCACAGCCGTCTCTACTAGGACGACACCACTTTGGCTTTTCAACTTCAGGTCCCCAGTGCGAGTGAGGTAGCCGATTTCCGTCTCTATGCACACCGACACGCGCGTCCGTCCTCTCGGGCCACATAGACGGTCACGTCAAGCCCCTGGCGGCTGCTTCGTCACTGCCATTATGTGCCGCGCCCCACGGTGAAACGGAAAACGTCTCCCAGCTTCGCGTTACCAGGCGAGATCTCTCTCTGCTGGCCGACCGTGTCTTGCAGAGGCAGTCAAAAAGTATCCCCAGTGACTCTGCGGGACATCCCGACCGTTCTCCACTATCCAAGCTTGTATCCCCAGTTTCACAGACCCCTCAAGCACCCGTGGCCATGCCTTAACGAGTTTTCGTCGAAGTTCGTCGCTAGACCGCACGCCCCTAGTGGAATGGACTGTCAGCATATCTGATCAAGGCTGCCCGTGGCAGAGCCTTAACGGGGGACTTGTGACCAAAAAGCGCTGATATCCTTCCCCCAGACTCGTATTATCCACTGCTCAACCGGTTGTAGCCTCCCTCGCCGCTCAACGCCAATTCAGATTATGTTTTCATGCTGTTGGGCGTCTCGCAATCTCAGAGAGTTTGCAAGCTCAGAAGTGTCCTGTCTCCTGCTAGAGGCCAAGATCAGAAACATTGAACTGCACAGGGAACAACGTGTATGACTACGAACCCAGGTGAGTTCGCCAGGGTTATTTTCAAAGGCGGTTGGCCAATATGCGGTTAGTCAACTCATCGGAGCTCTCCTCTCGAAAGAGGACTTGTGCCCTCGAATCCAGGGGCCATATTACCGTCCTATAATGCTTCCGTTTTGCACCAGCCCCTCGCGTGAAGTTGCTGGCGCTTCTTCGGAAAGTTCCATCTCGTCATCCCAATCTAATGGCAGTTCACCCTGGCTAACACCAAGGACCTTACTACAGATGTCCGTCTCAACATCCAGCTCTACCACGTTCGCGGGAAAGTGCACCTCAGCCTTGGCCGACTCGTTTGTGTCCTCAATGACCCCCTCTTGAACGTCAAAGAACCCGAGGCGTCGCAGATAGGAAGGTTGTTCGAAATTCCAGCAGCGCTTCGATGGCAATGTCGACAGGAGCAAAAGCTCGATGATATTAGACGGTCTTAAGTATTGCGTGACGCATTCGGCAAAAAATGCCCAGTTTGACGTCTCGGTTTCGTACTCGTCCAGATACATTCGCCGAAACTGTTCTCCTTCGCCGTCCACCCAGTCTGGGATGCTGGATACGGAGAAATTTTTGCGTCCAAGGAAGTTCCAAACAAAGTCAACCACTTCAACGATATCTATCTTTTCCTGCAGTGGCCGTCCTTGGTTGTCAATCCACAAGGCCCAAACATGCTTGAAAATTCCGTCGCACTGCCTAGGAGATTCGTAAACTTGAACTTTCGCAAACCACAACGTCTCCACAGCCAGCCAGTGAGCCATAACGGCCTTGTAAAACCTTTGGTAAGAACGCTGCCTCTGTGCGGCACTAAGCCGAGTGAAAGCTTCACAGCTAACTCCCGAGGGAACTGGCAGAGGCATCTCCCTCGCGAACTCTTCGTCTTTCTCTACCGCTTCATCGTACCACGAGCTAATCGCAGATAGTGAAAATGATGCCTGAATTGATGAATCGCAGTACAGGAGGAAAAGGACACGCATTGTATGCCATCGGCAGACTATCTCCCATATGGCTTCACATGTCAATTCGTCCTCCAACATAGCCGTTACTTGCTCCTCGGTTAACTGTTTTCGGCGAGAAGGGCTCATTGGGATAGGCGACGTCACGTAAAGTTCTTGGGCATAGCGTCCATGCAACCCGGAAAGGTGGCAAATCGCACGGTCGTAGAAGTGGTGTGGTGCATTTTCCTGCTCTCGTTAGGACAAGCAATAAGAGGGGTGGGGCCATAGTACAATAACGGACTTGAATATTTTGAGCCTTGCGTTCACTGGCTCGAAAACCGAATCGAGACGCTTGCAGCTGCGCGCTAGATGCAGGACATCGTCAATGTCGTCTAAAGATTGAAATATCCAGATAAGGAGCTCGACCGAGAGACAAAGTAGATGGCACATCGCCAAAGCAGTTCCGAAGGCCTCAAAGAGAAAGCGCCTAGTCGTACGACGAGGTTCGCAAAATCGTAAAAGGGGTTGACATTGCGAGTCAACGCTCTACCCCTGCCCACTAGACCTGAGCACGTGAGTGTTGCTAAGGACTAGACCAGCTGAGGCAGCAAATCCGGCGAGAAGCCATGCTCAGCCAGGAGTAAGGCCCTACTGATGATCGGAACCCGACCAGATATTGCGTCTGCGGTCGCGAAGCTGAGTCGCTTCGTGTCTCGATCTCAGTCGCATCACCAAGCCGCGCTGCAGCGTCTTCTCCGGCATTTGAAGGCTTCCCAAAGTGTGAAATCACATATCGAACGGGAGATTAATCGGCTATACGGACGCCGATTTTGGTGGATCAGTCGTAACCGATGGTGCATACTCCTCATCCGGATATATCTTCAAGTTCGCGGGAGGACCAGTCACCTGGTCGTCCAAGAAACAGGGGAAATTGCCACATCCACCACTTATGCAGAATACATCGGCCAATATAACGCGATCCTACATCTCCAGTGGTTGCGCACTTTTCTAAACGAAACCAATCTCTACCGGTTACCGGTGACGTATTTATGGCGGACAATCAATCTGCTATTTATCTCGGAACCCAGAGCTCCATAAACCGACCAAACATTTCAATGTTAAGTTTCATTATTAGCGATCCGTGCGGGAGAGATCGACATTCGATATATTCAGACCAAGAAGCAGCAGATGGACTTACCGAATCATTGGCCCCAAAGGAATTCGCAAGCTTCTGTCAGCTAATTGGCCTAGCCAGCGTTGCAGAAGGTTCAAAGCAGGAACTGTAATCGGATATTGATGCTCTTTCCACTTTTTCTCCCAGAAAGGGTTTCCTTGGTTCTACTGAGGCCTAGTCCACTCTCGCCAGTGCAGTATCTCCATGCAAGCGCGGCGATCCTGAGGGGGAATGTTGTGAATCGAGGCTCGATCAAGTAGACAATAGAGCTTCGTATACGGAATTTATTCCGTATTGAATCAGTTGATTGGAAATCAATCTGATATTCAACCTGTATATAAACCCTCACGCTTTCAGATGAGAATAATAACAACCAACCTTCCTCTGAATCACAACAGCAACATTCAAGGTTCTGTGTCTCTAAGCTAAGCCAAAAATCCATTGGACTAGTTACGTAGAATAGTTTGGACTGGTGAATCAGTAACTTTGCCAAGTCCTGCCTCCGCCAACTACTCTGTATGAATCGTGTTGTTTCCCATTATTGAATTCGTCTACGCTAGTAATATTTTCGGATGACTAAGAATTTGTATGTGAGATCGAAATCAAATGAAGGTCTGATTCTTTTCAACGAATGACTATCTAGGCCATATTTATAGCCTGGAAAATGAAGGTATTCAGATTCGAAATGCTCCTGCATCAGTGATATCGAATTTGTAATCATGATTCCATAGATTTCTGGTGTATGCATGATCATCTTGGCCGAATCACCTATACTGGAAGGTTTATCGAAGGAATGGCCGAATTTCTCCATTCGGTAAGCGGTAATCTAATTCAACACCCATTCACTCCGCAGGGCTGAGCCGGGGAAGATTGCTTCTCCCGTTGTCCAACGCGCCCAAAAATGAAGTGGCGCGCCGATCTTCCGCCTAGATGATCAGTGGGGCTCTGCAGTTCAATCGAACATCGACCGACCATGACCGGATTTTACTATGCCCGTGCAGCCGACATCCACATCTCTAGAATTCCAAATCAAACTGACCTATCAAAATGCATCTCCCTCCTTCAGGGGGTAGTCAGTATTATGGGATTAAGTAGTACCTTTCTGTCAAACTACATTGCAGGCCGACCAACCTACTAAGAAATCCCTTCTGTGGTTGATCCAATTGATAGGGGTTGGTAATGGAGGCTCCGTTCGTATCTTTGTCATGAGCAGCATGTGATCCCTCCCAGCTTCACTAGCCCGACCGATTGTGGTCAGCTGATCTCAACACATAAGCCAGAAAAGGCCAAGCTTCTTTGTCTCTGCTCTTCTGTACTGCTTGGATAAATCACTTTGTATTCTTCTTTGGACCGATTCAGACGAGTCCTCCGATATGTACGTCTGCTGGTAGTGAACGGTAGGTCGGAGCAATCAGCTCCCCTTCTTAGCGGAGTGGATCAAAAACATAGCTTTTTCTTCCTTTGGCAAACATAGCGTGATGACATCTTTTTTCTAGCGTGGTTTATTTAGGAAAGAGTCTCTTGTCCTCCAACAAAGGCCAGTAAGGGCTTAAGCTTCATTTGCCTATTTTGGTTTGGTGGGAAGCAAACCTTGTACGGTTCTACGGTTATACCCCTAGTAACTTCAAGGTCAGTTTGGGAATCTAGGTATGACGATGCCTAAGCTAGGCGCGCCCCAGTGCCTGCGTTTATCGCTCATCCTCAAACGGCGCGCAGTCTCGTTAATCAATATGGTAACTGTCAGTGCTCATGGATTCTCTTGGCTAACGGGACCCTACAAATCTGCAATTGAACCCGGGAAACATCCGTTGAATGCTAGCAACTGCCAAGCAAGTCTACTTCAATGATGGCCAATCCTCCAGTTAAACGGCATTTGAATTCGACGTCTGATCCCCGTGATCTGGACTTTTTGACTTACCGTACAGGTGAACATCTACGCAGATTTGAAGTTCACCTAGACGCTCTGAAAGCCGCCTATACCTTGTCGAGAGCCTACCAAGGTGTCCTTGACAGAGGCGAGATATTTGCACGACGTTTCGGAGCCAAACTGAAAGCTGACGCGCTGGAGGAAACTATAAGACGAGCATTTACAAGTGAGAGTCCTCAGTTGGAAGACCTCAACAATGCTGAAGGTGGAGACTTCAACCTTAGCTGGCTGCACGTTGTTCGAGACGTTAATCCCGAAGAAATTCAGAGAAAGCCCGACGGCACTTACCAGTGTGTCACGCGAGGGTTGATGATCAAGCTGTCGGAGTCCGATTGTGCGGCCTTACAAACCGGTCTTCTTCAAAAACTAGCCATCCCATGGCCGCATCAAGACGACGTCCAGGTTGAATTAGACACAGTTGCTTCTATCGTCGCAGATTTGACTAGATGGGATCAGATTGCACTACAGAGTAAGGGTGGACCTGAATTACTACATTTATCGCCGCGTATAGGAGTCTGACAACCAATAGTCATTGACCGGAACCATCACATTGTTGAGTTGCTGAACGAACGCACTGAGATGCTCAAACTTCTTCGACAGGAGTCCCTACGCCAATGTGTACCTTCATGCAACCGTACGCCTGCTATAATGGAAGCCCCTGAGTTACAATTCGACATGATTCTAGAACAGCCGACGCTGGATCAAGAAGATGTAAGCATCGGTGATGCTGACCAGGATGGACATACAACAGACATTTCACACGTACACGATATCTTTCACATCAGCCGCGTCAATCAACCGCAGAGGTGTCCTGGCGACGTACAACTCGTATCTTCAGAATTGCAATGCATTATATCTTCTCCCGAGGCCAGTCTGGTTCCTTGGACGTTGGAAGAAGAGTCCCGTTTATTGCCTTGGTTGAGCGCTCACCAAGATTTGGACTGGCCGGAAAAGGTGAAGGAGTATCTTCGCCAGTTTGGCATTTTCCGCTCAGTAAGAACCATACAAAGGAAAATGCGTCAATTGGAAAACCGAGAATTGCGCAGCACAAGGAGGGCTCAAAAGCGTCAGAATCAGCAGAGTGGTGCGCCGGTGATGCCACTTCCTATACGCCGTAACGCTGGAACAAGTCCACAATTGCAGACGGCAACTCCACAATCCATAGGGACACCTCGGCATACAGCATCCGTCGATTTGCGAGCCGAAAGGCATCACGATGATCGACCAGGGCCATATCATGCTGCGAGTACACGAACACAACCGATGAGCTTGGCATTCTCTCCAGTCCACCCCGTCACTGCTCAAAGAGTACGAGAACGGCATTTGGCTATCCGAGACCTCTGTTTGAGTGAGGCATCTAATACCCAGCCTGCAAGATGCACTGGCTCACAAGGTCAACCCGGGCTGTATCCCTCGGAATCGTCTGCGTTGCCTGTCGAGTCCCTGGATTAGGATGGCATTCTCACACGTTCGAGAAGTCAGATTGCACCGTGTAGGGAGAGGGACTGCCGCTCCGATAATTGTGGTCTTCGTTTGGACGCATCCTTGATTACAGTCGACAGCTTGAGACAAAGTGTGAAGAGTATCCGACTTTCTTCGCTATTTCCAGCAATACGTTAGCTATCGCTCTCGAGAATTCTCTGTTAACAAGCGGGGAGAAGTTTTGCATCAAGAGACTTGACTTTGTCCTGGCTCTAGAGCAACTATCATTTGTCGTATCAACGAAAATTTAGACACGTACGTCTCTCGATCTCTGGTCACGACTCCGACCAAGTATCTATAAATTACCAAACCAGTTCTGGCACATAGCGTGGATGTCCAAGTAATTAGAGCTCCTACCAGGGCAACCGGAACGTCCAGATACCGAAGTGTCCGCCGATGACCTGTAACTACGCGAACGGGCGGGGAATATGTTTGGAGTCCTTTCGGCCACGTACCACTACCTTATACGCAAGATCCGCCATTTGATATGATAGCCCGCCCGATGAGACATATATTACATCGTCTTTCTCTGCTACTTGGCACCTGTCCATAGGTGACTCGACTTTCCACTACTGTTAGAAGTCGACTTCGCATAAAGTCAGAGGGCTGTACTCACATCTCTAGGAACGCATCCACGTCAGGCCTCATCGCTTTTCTTGCTTCAGTGCACTCCAACAAGATACGCAGATAACCCATTCCAAGTTTCCGGTTCGTTAGTTCCAGTGAGCGGGCCTCAAACCCACTGGCCCAGTTGGCTAATATCCTGGTTTCCAACTCTGAGAGCCCTGTATTCATAGGCACAATGCGGACATGTTCATCAATGCTAACAAAGCCATGACGGTGCAGCTCTCTGGTGAAAGAGGCTGGCAAGTCCATATTCTCCATATTCCGCTGATCCTTCGAGGAGGCTTTCGTTGGTAAAATCTGTGGAGACCAGTGTCCCCGTCAATATCAGTAAAGTGCACCCGAGTACCCCAAACCTCAACTGTAGCAGAAGCAGCACAGAATCTAAGGGAAGGCATTAATCGGAAGATGAATGAGCATGTTTAGGCTTGACTGGAAACCCACCTGCGCGCCCCGGCTAAGATGCTGTTGAAAGGAGTCAGGTCTCCACCGGTATCTCCGACGTGAACCATATCAACGCCCTTGTAACTCTGGCACCAGTCCGGGCGAGTGAGATCTTCAACATAAAACTGACAGTTCGGTGGCACCCTATCCTCATCAGTATCTCTGGTAACCTTGCTACAGATCTCAACAACCCGCCAGCGTGACATCATGTGTCCAACCAGATCAATACCGAACACCTAGACGATCAGCGCCGTTCTAATATTACTAGAGACTCGGGGAATGTGGCGGCTATAATTATTATCAGTACAATCTGGGTGCGTCCGGGGACAGCGCTAATCAATAGCTTACCGAATTTCATTCCCCAAACGGCCGGTACCGGTCCTGACATCAAGAACAGTTCGAGTCCTGGTCATCACCCGATTGATGCCTCGGGCGGCCCACTGGTTCAGAGCTTTTTCCCACTGCTGAATTTCCATTTCGACCCTTAATAATTCCTCTTAATCGTGGCAGGGCGTCAGCCTGCGACAGGGTGTCTCACAGTCATTAATGCATTTCATGGTCAGAGGATAGATGTACATACGCAGGTGCTGTGAATGCAGCTTGGTACATAACCAAAAGCTGGTAGCCCTGCACTTGCGAAAGGCATGTATAGCAAGCAACTAGAGTCTGTAGATGATTCTAATTTCGGCAGAGACGATATCTTCCTGTCGAATACAATATCAAGAATTACCAGCTGTTCTCTCGACAATAATCTTTTCTAATCTAAAGCGCCAAGCATCACGGCAGCGACAAACATCCAACAGGTAATTTACAATCACGATCCAGATACCTGTACGTCCAATCGGCATCGCTTTGACCATTGTTGAGATACGTCTTGCGTTTTTATGTCTTGCTGGTACTGCACTTTCGTAGTCGCTGTTTCCCGGCTGTTATCGTCTTTGTTTGATTTGTCCGGTCCAGACGGATGCTGGTGTACGTGAGATGGTTGGATGCCCTAACTAGGAGGCCTAACCAGCGGTGTGTATAGGTTAGGCCGTTAGGGGCAGCGTGCTGAGTCTGCTGACCAAGGTAGTAGAGGTCACGTGACCATACGACAGATGCCCTCTCTAGGCGGGCTCGACACATCTTCGTTGTAGACCAAACCATCCGCCCCAACACACCTACCAACCGGCGGCCCGGGGGGCACCTTAGCCCTTACCAGCAGCTTCCTGATACCGAACTCCCGTCTTACCTTCACTACTGGCTAACTGATCAAAAAACCACTTGATTAGGCCGGGCATTTCAAGTGGTCGATGTCTGCGACAAATCAAGGGAACTGTGGAGCCTGAATTAGGATAGGGCTACCCCTTGGTCATCTTTGACAGGGTTTCTGGCTCTTGCTGTTTACTTGCCAATTTGAACCAGGTTAACCCCACTGTACTTCTCGAGTATCTTGACCTGGTCAAGAGAGGAAAATTATTTAGCACGCTGCTGTCGGGAACCGCGTTACACCCTAAGTGAACTGATACTCGACCCTGGTCAAAGAAAATCCACGCAGAATCAGGAGGCCCAGGCAATTCTCCTCCCGAATAACTTAGAAAATTTAGGGCTTTACCATTTACGCAGCTCAATTGACCTCTTCAAGGAGCACCCAGCGAAAGGTCCAGCGTGATGTACATGACAGGTCAGGCCTTGACGTTACCTGCTTCTATCTCCTCGTGTTTGATGCGCGTAAGTAAAGTAGCCAGATGCCCTACTCGTTCCTGGATGTTCCCCCAAAGATACAAACGGGCCGTCACTTACAGGGCCGACAGACTTCTCACTGTTCTCTGGACAATTCATTAACGTGCACTGCACTTAGCAAACACTCCAGGATAATGGGCTCTCCGCGGTTTGCGTTGTATCGCTCTGCATACAAAATCGTGTCCCCTCGCGTCGACCTTAGAATCCTTGGCCATGTTAAGCCCATGAACAGGGCATCGGTCTGGATGCTGCCATGGATACCCGGGGTCATAAGAGGAGAATAGAGGAGTTGACATTTACCCGCCATACAGAGCAGATGCGCCACAAAATTAACCAGCGAGGATGATGGAAGCCGGACATTGCAGGGCGGCCGAGCATCCTCCGTAAGTTCACAAGACGACCAGGCCAACCAACAACATGCTCCGTAAACCATTGGTCACATAAAATACCGGTACTATGTCCTAAATAGGTATGTTGCAGTGTCAAAAACCGACGACGGCTTGACCAGGCACAATCCAGTAGCATTCCCGGTGTATTGAAGTACTGAAGAGGTGGTCAAAGGATGAGAATGATGCTCGTAGCATAACACGAGTAGCATGACTAGGATCCATACTGGGCGAATAGGATTGTATTGTGCCGGATGGGCCCGGTTTTCTTTATCTTTCAACCTCTCTCTACTTTTCCCTTTCTAGAAGGTGATAGTCACCGAGGCGCCTCCCGCTGTGAGTGGCTGGAAGTCATGGACAAAGTTTACTGTGGTTATTGGTGGTTTAAAACTTCGCTAGGGCTTTGTTGCCCGCCCATTTTCCATAGCCCTCAAAACTTCTTTTCCCGGTTCCCACTGGCTCACCCAGTTTGGCCCATGGGGAAGATTTGGAGACACCTTCAGTCGTCACACGACAGGGACTTCACCTGAAGATATGATAACATTATTGCTCGGGGATTTCCGGTCAATTATGTCGCGTACGTACACCAATCCATGTTACAGTGGCCGTGTCGAAGTAGGTGGCGAGGAGGCTGGGGCAGAAAAGGGCATCTTGGGGTAGCGATGATCCGTGCCAAATCCCACCACAAGAGGCCAACACTCTGAGGTCGATTTTTTTGCGTTCGACCACCCAGGCAACCTTGAACCGTAATCATACTCCTGTCGGCATTCCGTGCACTAATTCCCAGCAATGCTAGGGGACGGCCGAATGGCACTACGGAGAACATGGCCCCCGAGTTTCCTCTGTGGGGTCTGGAGCATATTCCTCTTGTCGATGATGCGGAATCAAACTAGCAGCGACGACCCTGGCTATTCCGGCAAGCTTTATCTCGTTTCGGGTCAGTTGTCACATGAATGTGACAAATACTTCGCGACTAGGCCCTTTAGCTTTTGTGGCCGGCATGTTGTACTTTTGCTGGAAGGAGAGGCCGATTTATCCCCTACAAGTTGATATTGTGTGCTTTCGGGAAAACAAAAATTAGTTCAGAGCAAGCTGTCTTTTAAAGAAAACCACGCTGAGATTGAGTCGACACGGTGGTCTAGTCAGCTACATGTAGATGGTCATTTCCCCTTCCTGAAGAGGTTCCGAGCACGGACGTGAATATTCCATCCTTTACTCGCCATTGCCGTTGATGTCCTGGGCAATCACACTCCCTTGTTTTCGTCGATAGCGCCGCAAAGCTGTTGCTAAGTGTAGTTGTATGGTGCAAATGTGACAAGGTTGCCCCGATCGCTGTGCCTGGCATTTGCCGTCAGGCAACGCTGGCTAGAGCTTCGGCTCCTGGTTAACTCCATACTTAGGGCAATCTTGGCCAATACGAAACTCCTTTGAGATTTGGATCCCGCTTGATTTTACGCCATTTGCTAGGAAGAATAAGGAAAGTCGCAAATGGAGAAGATGACCAACAAATAAACTCAATAGGAGGACAACCATTGGTCAGTAGCCAACCCCGGGAACAATGATAAGGATACGTAATCCAATATCCGTCGGGCTTTCATTTATGCTTGCTCACCATCAGGGACGATTCTTTCATTGTGACAGTGGCGGACTTGATGTGAGGTGACACGACTAAAACCCAGGTCCATTTGAGCATTATCTGAAAGAGGTATAGGTGGGCATCGGTATGACAAATAATTAGTTAATAACTAGAAATCCGCCATGCTCATTACCCCTACAACGCTTTACTCTAGTACG